AGAGACCGTTTCGCTTGGGCAAAACGCCCCATTGAGTTCCTGCAAACTGGTTTCAGAGTAGACGCAATGCATGGGGCTGGAGTTGTGCCCCACTTGAACGCACGCTCCTGTCCCATGAGATTAGAGACGATCTCCTGTCTCTCTCCCCTTTTTTGGTTCAAAAAGCTGCTTCTTATAGAAAGCGCCCTTGGAATGCAACTTTAATGCACTATCCAGTGTAATAAATTAATATCAGAGAGGAAATCTCTCCTGCCACTGCAGGCTTGTAGGAGGGGGAGGGGGATGAACGCGAGAGATAGGTTGGATGTTGTTTATTTCCTGTTGTTGCTGCTGCTTCTGCTGCTGTTGTTGTTGTGTGCTGTCAGATCACCCTCTTGAATGAGGATCTCCAAAACTTATGGTCTTCCACAACCCCGCCCAGCTCTTGCAAACGCTGTAAGTCTGCTGGTTCCTTTCGGGAGCCAGACCCTCTCGTATTTGGCCTTCCTCTTTTTCTGCTCCTTCCGCTTTTCTCAGCATGATGTCCAGAGAATCCTTGTCCAGAGAATCCTGTCTTCTCATGATGTCTTTGTCCAGAGAATCCTGTCTTCTCCTGATGGGCCAGCCTCCGCTTCAACCTTTTTCTTGCCTCCAGAGAGGGTTCAGGCTTCCTGTTGTTCTGTGTGGTCAAGTCGCCGCCCAACTTGGGGCGACCCTTAATAGGGTTTTCGAGGGATGTGCGATGTTCCAAGAGTGGCCCAACCCCAGTGAGTTTTCATGGCCGAGCAGGGATTCGAACCCAGGTCTCCTGAGTCTTGCTCCACCACTCCATCCCCTAGACCTCACTAGCTCTCTCTCGTTGATCCGTCCCACGGATCTCCCGGCCTGTTTGCCAAAATCCTGGAGGTGCTTTACGGTGGAAAACACTGGCTAGCGCAAGCTGCAAGCTCTCATCCTATGCTCCTGGACCGCCGAGTGTTCTCTAGGGTTGGGGTGGGGGAGGGATTTACAATGGAGTAGACGTGGGTGGGATTCCGTGCTAAAGGGTGGGACGTGCTTTTAAGAACAGGAGAAGAAAGAGAGGGGAACAAGATGACTCAATGGGCACCCAGTTTTTCATCCTATATTTAGGTATATTTATATAGACCTCTCTGGCTTTCAGTCTGCCTATCTCAGCACACGGATACGCCACCTTTATACAGACTCTCTACGACGCACACACCGCCACTCTGCGCACTTGTGCGATCCGTGAACTCCGAGCCTCTTCCCTTTTCAAATGCGTGTGGTTCCCCTCCGAGGGATCAGAGGCGAGCAACGGAGTGTAATAGAATTGTAGCGACCATAATGGCCAGAGATATAATCTCAGTCCCCCTCCCCTCCCTCTCTTCTTAAGGGGACGCCGGGGGGGGGAACGTATAGAGGAGGAGGAGAGAGAATAAACGGCTCCCCCCCCTTTCTTCCAAATGTAGACCTTTGGCTTTAGTGGGGGGGGGGTGGCTAGAGCGACTCAGTTGCAACTTTTCCAGCTATTACTCAGTTGCAAGAGAAGAGCTGGGGAGAGATGTGGGGGGAGCGGGAGAGAGAAGAGAGAGAGAGAAGCCCCCCCCCCGCTCTTCCAAGGGTGCAGTTTTGACTGTGTTTAATACACCATGAAGACGCGAGCGGTAGGCAGCGACGCGGGGTCGCGCCCTCTGTAAAGAAAACGTCACCTCTTTTCGCCCAAGTTCACTGGAGAGGCAGGCAGGGCGGGCGAGGGGGGGGACAGCCTCGGTGGGAAACAAGTGGTTTCTTTTTGAGGGGGGAGGAAGAAAGAGGAAAAATAGGAGAAAAGAACAAGAAAGGAGAGGGGAAAAAAAACCACCCAACGCACCCAGGAAAATAGAAGCATTTTAAAAAAAAGAAGGAAAACTATAATAAGGGGTGGGGGTGGGGGTGGAGTGCCCGAGGGAGATGGTGTTTAACTGTTTCTCAAGCAGCAGTGAAAGTTTGTGTGGTTGTGCATTTCCTTAGCAGGCGGTCATTCCTCTGCCTTCTCTCCCCCGCCTCCCCCAAAATGCTCACGGTAAGCCAGTTGTTGTGTTGTTGTTTTTTAAGAGACATCACAAATATAGTAGGATGGGGGGGGAGGAAGAGAGGGGAGGGGAGAGGGCCGTAAGAATGAGCCAGTTTGCAGAATTAGTGTGCTTTAAAACAAACAGACCAACAAATAAAAGAGAGGAAGAAAGAAAATGAGGAAGGAAGGAAGGAAGGAAGGAAGGAAGGAGCTGATGATGGAAGGAAGGAAGGAAGGAAGGAAGGCAGGAAGGCAGGAAGGCAGGCAGGCAGGCAGACAGACAGACAGACAGACACCGGTCTTCTGTTGACTGTTTTCTGGTGAAAGCCACGTTTTCTACTGGTCTAAGATTTAGATGCAAACGATAACAAACCCCAGGCAGCCAGGGAGAGAGAGCGAATGCAAAGATTTCCCCCACTCCTTAAGAGAAGCTTAAATAAAAAAAATTATTTCTCTCTCACCCAGCTCGTAATTTCTAACCTTTGAAAGGTTTTGTGGCACTTGTATCGCTTCTGCGAGCTTGTTGGGCGTTGGAGGGACTGGAATAGGGAGGAGAAAGAAAGAAAGAAAGAAAGAAAGAAAGAAAGAAAGAAAGAAAGAAAGAAAGAAAGAAAGAAAGAAAGAAAGAAAGAAAGAAAGAAAGAAAGACGTCCCTTGCCACCTGGGCCGAAGGAATAGCAAGGTAAATGAATGAATAAATAAATGAATAAATGAATAAACGAACGAACAAACGAATAAGTCAACCAGCCAGCCCTCCCTCACCCACTCCTGCCATTGTGCTCGCTTCCCATCCTCATCTTCAACTCCTCGACTTCGTTTCTTGGGCGGGACAGATGCGGGGCCAAACGAGGTGCTGGCTGTTCGTGTGTATGCGCTCAGCGCGGGTTGGGTTCTCGTGTTCCGCGTTTTCACGTGCCCGTATGATTGCGAGGCTGTTGCCGTTGGATTCTCAGCGCGACGTGGTGGTGTTGGTGTTTTTTTTCCTCGTGTATTTCTTTCGTCGGACGGAATACGCGGTGTGTGTGTATGTGTGTGTGTGTGTGTCAGAGAGAGAGAGAATGAGGATCAATAGATCGGCTGCAATCTCTTTCCAAGCGTTTACGATTATTGGCGAGCCTTAAAAGAGAGACTCGGGAGACGTTTCATAACATCGCAGGCGGGTCATTTAGTAAATGAGATATTGTTGATGTTTGTTTGGCCATCCTCCTCCTTTGGCTTTAGGGCTCTTCCGTCTGTTTTGCCATTTTATAGCCCGGCCTATCAATAATAATAATAATAACAATAATAACAGTAGTAGTAGTAGTAGTAG